ACATTACATTTTACTTACATTACACATTACTGTATTTCTAAAGATGCAATATTTATTATTATTATTATATATTGACTTTCACTTGGACACAGTTGAATTCAAGAATGAAGGTCTACTAATATACCTCTATGATTCAAGTAAAACTACGGCTAGCATATATAACATTGACTGTATCTATGTTCATATCATTCACTATGAATAGGAAAATACCACAAAAAGGCTGCAGTATCCATGTTATCCAATACTACTCCAACATTTTGAACATGACCTAAATAACAAGATTATACAAAATAAGTGCCATAGTTAAGTATTATTTAAACAATGTTTGAACATGAGTAATGGTGTTATTGCCTTTTTGTTTCGTGGAAAAAAAGGTTTATTTACTTAGCAATAAAATAGTGTTTTTAATTTCTTTTCCTACATAAAATACTGGATGTAATATCTAAGACAACAATACTATGTCACAATACATGCAGTGACTGGCTATATAAGGACAAAAACATTCAAGATTTGAGAATTGCTTGCATTGTCACCCAGAGCGTGATCATGGCACAATAGACAAATCTAGGGAGAACAAAAACTGTTATTTCACACCTGTTTTCCATATATGTGAACTGTCTTTTTATGTATGGAAGTGTTACAGTCTTCTTTACAATAAAAGGGTCAATCCTTTGTAACACAGTTTCCTGTAACATGGCCAGTGTTTTATAGAATAGTAATTTTTTTATTGATGATGCATCAGTAACTTACATTCTTTGACACTGGTGAGTGTTTGTTAGTAATATTTCTTCTGTTTCATGATGTGTGAATCTCCCAAATTACATTTCAGTTCTTATCCGTCTCTCTTACAGCCTAATTTCTTGGAAACCCTCCAGACCCTTCTAACAACTTGCTGAAATTGTACCCGCTTTTGAAACTATGCACTAGCCCACAAAACTGACATTGCTTTGCAAAACCAGTAGATTAGAGGAGCCCAAGCTGTTTTCAGTATGCCATCCCAAGTAAATGAACCAGTGATTATCGACGTATGGACATCAAACCTTGAAGACGCATTCAAGAAAATTATCCACCTGGTACCCAATTATAGTCACATTGCAATGGTAAGTGATGGTGTTGTTATCTTTCAGTTCTTTATCTGTTTTCTCTGTGTGGCTATTTTGGATTTTTATCACATTGGTTATTAAAAGTAAATAAAACAAATTCTGTTTTTCAGTAATGGACTAAAATTTCTCCCATTGAGTTGTACTGTGCAATCATTAAACCATGTATGATGATACTCTCATCATGCATGGTGTAACTACAGATTTGAAAAATGACATCTGGGCTTGGGTGGGTTGCTTGGGTTACCCATGAATGTAGAATTTAGAATGTAGGACATAAGATTAAGAAAACTTTCTTAAATGCCTTAGTTTAAATTTGGCAATGATTATATTGGTAAAGGATTATTGAAATAACAGTTGTCTTTTTTTTTTTAATTAATTTCTGCTATCCGTATTTTACCCCTCGCTGCTGCTAAATTATACCAAATGAGTTTGTTTACTAGCAATGCCTTTGTGTAGTTTATATACCATACTTATCCGGGTAAGAGCCCATGCCTGGACAAATGCACACCCCCCACAATAAAGAAGTTGAGGTCATATCCGGGCACACGCCCAGGGGGTCTTTTTCTACACAAAACAAAAAACAAAAAAGCTATTTTCTATTCGCTGACTGTGGTTGTATTAACAGTTGACTTTCTTGAAGTCTGTCGTGATACTTATAAAAATTGTTAATTGCGTAAAACAAAGCGTAAACGCAAAATAGCTGTAACAGCTTTCTGCCTTCAGGGCAGCGCAGCGCGTTCACCAAGTCAGCAAGTCTTATAAAAATAAATATTAAAGCAGAAATGGTAGTTCTCTTTTTGAAATATGTTGTGGCCCTAAAAAGGGCCGGCCGTTTGGTTTGTGCATCCTTAGAAACGATTCAAGCAAATCGTATAAGTGTCGTACTCGTTCGGCTTTAGCGTCGTCGACAATGAAAACAATGTTGCAATATTGTAGCAACCCGTACCTGGGAGAAAGGTTGAAATCACGTTATTTTGGTTTTATAAATATTTTGTAGCAGCTTGCGAATCCATAACTGGGCCAGCAATTTTGCAATGTCACGTCGAAAACTGCCAACTTTTTTACCATCTTTTATCACCGCTATTGCATTTCTGTCATGAAAACTATTCTTCTGTCGTTGGATAAAAAAAAAAACTTCCTATTTCATATCCATATAGTGAGACATTCCAACCGCCGGAACTTGCTGAATGATAACTTTCACCGTGATTAATAAGCGTCGAGTCTGATAAGAAAGCAATGTCACGATTTGACCTTTATGATGAAATACAAGTAGTGATGTCATTCTTAGCCAATCAGTAAAG